GATTAAAATTTAGTAATGTGATTATTAAAATCTTCCATTTGTTATCCTCTTAATATTAAGTGGTATATAGAATTACCTCTATTAATATAAAAATAGTTAATATGAAGTTAATTTACATTAGGTCTACCATGGAACCCAAGAATTATAGCACCATTAGAATTATTTTAAAAAAGGAACAAGGTGAAAAAATTGCTCCTTATATTTTCAAAATATAATAATTGTCTTTCGATTATCCTAAAATATATGTTGCTAATTAACAACCGTTGTCTCAATGACCAAATATTAACTTTTTTAGATAATTCCACTAAAGACAATTCCTTTTGTCTTCCAAATACTATAATCCAATTACCATGGGAAAATTCATCCCGCACTAAATTTGTTAATTTAGCAAAAAATATTTCTTTCTTTGCCATGTTATTATTAATTTGTAAATAATTAAAAGTTTAATTTCAAGTGGCCATTAAAATTATATTGATTTAGTGTAAAAATAATTATTGATAAATTGATAAATTTTAATGTCTATTTAATAACAAACTTATTTTATGAGATGAAATTTCATTTATGCTAATGATAAGTTAAAATTATATAAATTCTCCTGTTTTTTGATAAAAAAATAAGAAATAAAATTGATTATTGATAATGATCATTCCCTGAATAAATTCTTTTGATACAAATGTTGTATTTATAAGGATAAAAATGTATTCATTTTTGAATGAATATTTTTTTTTAGTAAATTATTTTGATAAATCTTTTTTGGCAAATTATTTTTTTCAAATTTTACATTACCAACAATTAATGGGCCTTTTTAAGTTCCAATTCCCTATCAAATAAGGATTTATAAAGATTATTAACTGACATAAATTTATTAGTAAGGAGAATATTATAAAAATATGGCTTTGTTATATTTATTTACAACAAAATATTCAATTATCATTAAAATTCATCATAAACATTCAATTATTTAAAAAAATCCATACTATAATATATACCACACCAATATTTAAAAAAAATTATGTCGTCAATATTCATTTCTAATTGTTTCATTAAAACGGTTGCTGCAACTATCATTAGTATATCTGGCACTGCGATATATAGAACAGAAATAGGCGGCTTTAGGGAATTGTGGTTTAAAGGATTTTTTAATAATAATAAAGAAGATGAAAACATTGTCAATTTTAACAAAAAATCTTTAATCAACTTTAAAAAA